TCTTCCTGCCCCATCCCATGCCATCTGCCTTAGCCATTCCTATTGGGCCCATCTCCCACCCACAATTCCATAAACACCTGCTTATCTTCCTCCTGGCCCACGTGGCTCCCTTCCCATCATCGCTTCCTTCTCTCTCCCATCTTCTTGTCTGTCTCCTTCCCAAGATTCTCTCTGTCCTCCAAGCCGGAGAACCTTGGCTCCACCCACCTCCTTTTGGCCTTGCCCAGGTGCAGGTTCTATTACTAACCAGTGAGGAATAATGTCTCAGGCAGGAGCAGTAGCCAGATCTGGACGCCCACCAATCACCACCAAAATACAACCAGACCAACCCCAAAAATCCCCCTTTTCTGTCTAAATAAAAAGGCCATTAAAAAATAATATATAATAAGAACAATTATGAAACAATTATAAAAACCAACAGGTAAGACTTATACACATAACGTCTAGTTTAAACGTATTCAGCAAGCTTGAAGAAAATATCTCTCCTATCTCTGAGGGCCTAAGGTTTTGTACCTAAGTTATTTTATTATAGTTTATTATAATTTGTATTTATTAACCTAAAACATCTATCTAGACCTAAAACACTTTCATTTTTAAGCAACTGAGCTAATTGTAAAACTATGACTATCTAGTCTTCAACCCCATCAGAGACTTGAGAAGGAATAAAATTAATTACTTGAACAAATGGAAAGTGCATGCTAGCAGCTTCCAAAGAATTGCCAGACAGCGTGCTGCCTGAACTGCCGTCCAAAACTCTTTATAACACTGGAGCATCATGTGCGGCCTTCTGGCCCAGTCAAATACCACTTTTTTAATATATGACCTTTTCCTTTCCCTTACCTTTACTCTTCTTTGATTTTTTTTTTCCTTTCTTTATTGAGTCAAGGTCTTGGCAAACTTGCCATCTTCCTGCTTCTCAACTCCTCAACCCCAGCAATATTTATTTCTCAGTATAAATAACAATAACAAACAAAGCCATTCTTTAAAATGATAGAAAACAAAATATCCAATATTTTGAATTCCTAGTCACACTTCGGAACTTAGTCACTAAATTATGAAAACTGGTGTGAAAACAAACACTTTAATTTTGTGAAAACAAAATTCTTTGAGTTTTAAGGCATGTGTGTCTCATCATTCCTTTATCTATGAAAATGATAGCTTTGTTGTTTTGTTTTTTCCATAGTGTAAATTTTAAAAAGTTTAAAACTAATTCTAATTTTGAGACATTGAGTTATTCACTAGCAACCGGTACTGGCAAAGTTAAATATAGGTGAATGAGCTCAGAAATGTGGTGTATTGTTTCTAGGAGTTGATATAGCAGTCTGGGGGAGTTGAACAATGGTGTCTGATTAAGAACCCCTGTCTTGGGGCTGGAAAAGTAGCTTAGAGGTGGAAAGCATTTGCTGCTTTTGCAGAGGACCTGGGTTCTATTCCTAGCACCCACTTGGTAGCTCACAATGATATGTAATTCCAATTCCAGAGGATCCGGCACCCTCTTCTGGTCTCTGTGGGTATCAGGCACACATTCATGCAGGCACAACAGCCATGTGTACATAAAATAAAAATAACAGACAAGTATTTTGAAGAAAAACCCTCATCTTTATTGCTGTGGGAAAGGAACAACATACAGCCAACACGTCCAGGTAAGACTTCTTAGCGCCTGGTGAAAACTGTCAAACTGCTGCAAATCACTTATTGGAACAGGACCCTCTACTGCCATCTGCTGGAAAGTTGGCATAGTCAAAACAATAGAACAGAGGCGTGCTTGGTGGAGGTGCCCAGCTAGAGGACACAGTAGACGGCATTCTTGAACAAACATGGTCCCTAAAGAGAGGCTAACTTCTCCCCTGGCTCCGAGCCAAAGACCAAACAGTCTGCCCCACAGGAAGGGACACTAGCTATGCTGTTTCTAACGACATCCGGACTAGATGAAACAAACAATTGAAAGATTTCCTACTGGTAAACTTGATGGCACCTAATATTCCCCTTAGATAGAAAACTTTATGGGCATGACTATTGTGTGGTATGGTTAGCGAGCTGAAAAAATATGGCGGACCCCATTGTGTGAAGCAGTGTCAAAAACAGTGAGTATCCCTTTTAGGACAGGTGATGCAGCAAAAGTACCTCCCCAACCCCCAGGCTCTGTGTGGAGGCTGAAGAACTCTGACATCCAGGGGAAGACAAAACCCAAAGCCGTGCCCAGTCCATGCCAGCCTGGCACATCCTCACTGCATGGTGGCAGAGTGAGAACCTTACCCTACATCTGCCGCCCAGCATTGGGATCTGTTCAACCTGGCAGCCAGTACCAGCTTCGTGACTGTGATTTACAATTCACTAATGCATTTCGTCTGCTGGCAGCCAATGAGGGATGCCAAGGAACAGAGATTTTAGCAACCTTTGTAGAGGTAAAATGTATTAGGCAAGACTGTCTAGTGGAACTGCACTGATGGAATATATAATCACTAACACATACACACACTCTCTCTGTCTCACTGGTCAGTCTAACATTGGCCGTCTGCATGCTGCAGAGGCTGAGAATCTCTTAGCTTCTGTCTCAGCCCATGAAGCCGGAGGCCTCAGCAGTCCTAATCGGGCATGGAAGCCCAGAAAGCTCCCCGGAGAGCTGCTGGTATTCAGCCCACACTGGAAAGCCAGAGAAGCTGGAGTCTGGTACCCACAGAGGAATGGGGGGCAGTAGAAGCAGCAGTGTCAGCAGGAGCAGATGCACATACCAGCAAGAATGGAAAGCAGGCAGGCAGGCAAGATCCCCCTACACTATTTATACATGGGCCATCCCTTAGAAAGTACTATCCTCCCTATGGGACAGTCTTCTCCCCTCAGCTAATTCTTCCTGGAAAAAGACAGGTCCTCCCACAGTAGTGTCTCTTCGTTGATCCCAGATCAATCCCATAAAGCTGATAATGAAGACGGATCATCACAGATGAAGAATCAGAGGCACTTTCCCCTGTAAACTGGTGTGAGGCCTCTCTTCCTAAAGTCCCGAGCGAAGGGCTAGTATAGCTTGCCTGGTATTCTGTGGGGATAGGGTAAGGCGGTTTGGAAGGCTCCTTTCAGCTCACTGTTTCAGGAGACTGAGACCTGTGAGTACAAGTAATGGCAGAAGGCCTTGGGCAGGCACCTGATCCGGGCGCAGAGTGGGAGAACCTGAACCATTCTCCAATGTCCCGTGGGCTATAACCCCACATCTCGGGGGAATGGGGAAGGAGTACCGAGACACGCTGCAATCTAAAGAGGGGCTCTTGCACCTCCATGTCAGTGTCAGCACAGTAAGGGCTCTGTATTAGTTACTTCTGACACACCACGACCAAGTCAACTTACAGAAGAAAGGGTTTGTTTGGGCTGAGGCTTCCAGAGGCGTTAAGCGTCCACCGTGGCAGAGAACTGTGCCAGCTAGCAGCATGAGGTGGCAGAAGCTGGAAGCTGAGAGCTCACATTTTGAACCCCAGGTACAAGGCAGAGAGAGCAAACTGGCAGTGGCGTGAGGCTTGTCATGTCAAAGCTGGGCCTTAGTGACATACTTCCTCCAGCAAGGCTGCCACACCTATGCTTTACCAAACAGAGCCACCAGCTAGGGACCCAGTGTTCAAATGCCTGAGTACGGGGACAGCTCTCATTCTAACCATCACAGGGTCGGTCCAATCGCTTCATCCCACTCTGTTGTCTGGTTCCTTGGCGCTCAAAGCATGATTCCTTGTCTGCTGCTGGGTAAGGGGATTCTGCAGCTTGCTTTAATCATGGCACAGTGCTAAATGGTGACACCTACAGTGGGCTAGATCTTCCCAAATCAATTATCTCAATCAACCATAACCGTCTTTCCACAGACGATCCTCACACCCCTACAAGCCAACCCAGTGTAGGTAATCCCTCATCCAGACTTTTCTGCCAGGTGGTTCTGAGTTGTGTCAAGCTGACCACTGGAACCAACCAACTCCTCCCAGCAGTGATAAAAATCCTCCGGAGTCACAATGAACCCTGAACTTCTGAAACGCTTTACTCATAAACACTCCAATCTCTTTGACAGACAACATGAGATAAAATAATCAAATGCTTGCCCAATAAAATCAGCACATGGATTCCCTCAAGGACATCTACAAAATGTTTACAGCAATGTTTCTAAGAATAGTTACGAATAGGAATACCCATTCCAATACCAGAACAGACAATTCCTGCTGCGTTCAACCGGAGGGAATGTTCTGCAGCCATGAGACTGTCACAGACTTCTCCTTCATGGTGAGAATCACAGATGGGTCTCAAAAACCATGACTCCACTTGCATGGAATTCAAAAATGGCCAAAACTAGTATTTAGAGATTGGGACAAAAACACAGTTAACTTTGGAGTGTGCTACTATCTGCAAGAAGACACAGGGGGTCATCTGCATTGCTGGGGTTGTGCCACCATGATCTGGGCGGTGAGCACATGTCCATATGTAAGTATCCGTCAAGCTCCTGGCGTAGGACCTGCCTGCTTCCCTGTACAGATGTCACCCAGCAATTAAACATTTCCCAAACCCTTGTGGCCGCATCATCTCTCAACCACTTCCACCTGAAAGCAGTCTTTCCAAATAGATCAAGAAAAAAAAAAATTAGGCCAAATATTTTGATCTGACACTATAAAAAGTAACAAAGGTATATGTGGGTAAATATCTATATCTCTCAGATGGAAGGACTTCGAGATGACACAGATACCAGAAATGGTAATAATCAAAGACTGATGCATTTAATCCTACCAAACGCTATTAAAACAGAAACTTGGCTCCAGTTTTGGTTCTAAGATATGTAATCATGGCTGTGTCGACACCAAATAAAAGGAACGTCAAATAAGTCACAGGTATTTCTTGGAATTCTTTTGTAAACATAGCTGTCCCTTCTCTCTTATTAGCGTACTTATAAATTTATTTCTTTCCAGTCATTTATTTACAGCATGAGTACAGACTCAATGGCCTTCACATTGTAGTTTAGATTAGAAACTAATACTTGGTTTTTTGTTGTTTGGTTTTTTTTTTTTTTTAATGTTGCTAGATGGTCTTCATTTTGGCCACTGGGAATCTCTTTTCGAATCATTTTTGTGTCCCTTTGACATACTCAGTTGTGTTTTTCCAGCACTTTCTAGCACCACAAGATGGTCCAGGGATGTGGTTTATTTTCTCTGCTGCAGCCTTAGAGTCATCCTGGTTCCTTCTATTGGAGAAAGATATTTAGATACCAAGATGGGTGTTTACTGTGTTCTTTGAAAAAGATATTAGTCAGAGCTAAGGGTATATCTATGTGCGTGCGCACACACGTGCACACACACATACTGATCTCTGTATCTGTATAGAAAAACAAATTTATACCATGGGGTTTGTTCTTGTTCCCCATGATGGTTGGCTCTGTCAACTTGACACAAAGTAGAATCACCTTGGAGAGATTCAATGAGGGACTGTCTACATCGCATTGGTCCGCAGTCTGTCTGGGGCTGTCTTGGTTGACTGATGCGGGAGGATTTGGCCCACATTGGTGGGGCGCACCATTCCCCAGGCAGGGAATCTGAACTGTGTGAGTAGTCAAACTGAGGCCAAGCAAGCAAGGACAAGTGAAAGCATCCATTTCTCTCTGCTCTTGGCTGTGGGTGTGACATGACTAGCTGTTTGAAGTTCCTGCCTTGACTGTGATCTGGAATAGCGAGCTGAGATAAACCCTTCTCCTTTAAGTCACCTTTTTGTCAGAGCATTTTATCGCAGCAATAGAAATAAAACTAAGGCATCTCCTTACTTATTTGAAACTTCTCCCTCCATGATAAGCTCGTCGTATCATCCTTCTTCCATCTACCCACTCACCCACACACCGTATATACGTGAGTTCAGAATTATTCACCAATACCCCCATGTTAAAGAATTTACAATGAGAGTGTGTACTCATGACACTTGCTTCTGTCTTCAGCCTTACCTTACAGTTTTAAAAGATACTTAGCTTTCACTTTGCCCTGTAGCTTCAATAAGATTAGGTCCTGTGTTTATAATACAGTCAGTCATTTGTTAGAATCTTCTCTGCTTCCTGGCATTTCCCTACATCCTCGTTGATACTGAAAACTTTGTTTTCTCTAAAGTTTACTCTACATGAGAAAGGGTCTCATGTAGCTCAGGCTACTCTCAAATTCTGTATGTAGCTGAGGGTGGACTTGAACTTCTGATCTTTCTGCCTCTATCTCTGAGGTGCTGGGATTACAGGTGTATGCCATTACACCTGGCTTCAAGTTGACTCTTTAAGATGTGTAGCTATGGGAGTCCAGGAATCATAAAAATACCATAAAAAATACGTCACCGTAGGAATTGGCTCTTTGTAACCACCTGCTCAGCCTCTCCCAGCTACTGACAACCACTACGATCCTTTCCATCTTCATGTTTTACTTTCTCTAGAATGCCATGTCAAACATAATGGTTTGGCATGAACCAGCATGACAGCTTGTTCATTCCTGTTGCTGAGCAGCGCTGGATTGTTTGGATATGTTTTCTACCCTCCACCTATTGAGTGGCAACAGGGTTGCGTGTGTGTGTGTGTGTGTGTGTGTGTGTATGTGTGTGTATGGTGTTTATAAGTAGAGCTACTACAAACCTTTGTGCACATGTTTTACGTGAATAGCTTGACTACTGACTTACTTATTTTGGATGTGTTCCAGGTACAGGGAAGGTGGGACCTTAAGTATGTGGAAGATATTGTCAGTCAAACTCAAAGTTCTTCTCACGGTCCTCATTCTTCTAGAACCTTCTCTAAGAGGCACCTGGGGGAGACTGGGAGGCAGGCGGAGGGGAGAGTGAACCTTCTTCTGCTTGTCTGCATGATTCTCTGGTCATGGAGCCTAAGTACCACCAGGTGCAGGGCAGCAGCCGCTGCTTAAGCTGGTCGAGGTGGCTCCTCCTAGCTTCATTTTCAGACTGTAGAATCTAACCCACAGAGCAATGCCACTCCTTAAATAGTGCCAGATGCCTACAGATGCCTCTAAGTTCATGGATTCTCAGTAATGGCCAACAGTAACTCACCCGCAAAGGTGTGAACTCTAGTTGCTGGGGCAACCCCTCTGAGCACCTTGCTTCTTTTAGCTCCAGGCCTGGGGTAGACAGCTCCTTAAGCACTTAGCACCCATTCCTGCAGCTTCAGTCTGTCCACATAGTCAGTTTCCTCCGATAAATTCTCTTTGCTAGAATTTATTGTGTCATGTATTTTTCCTTTGTCCATGCTGTCCGTTAGCTCGTTCTTTCTGTTGTATTTTAGAACCTGTGCCACTGTAAATATTTGTGCATGTCTCTGGGTACCCGGGTCATTGTCTCTTCTGCTTCTGGCTGTGTATGTCTCTTCCATGGAGCATACACCATCCCTTGTTCATTGTCTCTGATCTTTCCAAAGGGAAGCCTTTGCCTTAGTAATGTGTCCCTTGTGACAAAAGCTGAACCAGGAGTCATTAGCACAGGTAACTGTGCTACATAAACATGGATGCACACATAATTGATCGCTAAAGCCGTTAAAATATATTCATTGTTATAAATATTAACTGTTATAAAATACATTACATCACTGATTACATTGTTGCTGATGATATGAAATCAAATCTATGCTCTTTAATAGAACTTCTAACCATTTAAAAGCATTATACATCAGGTGACCCACAAGAAATGGTCTTGTGATCCACAAGAAGAAACCCAAATGCATAACTGAACATAGAACGTCTTTTGTATGAACTCCATTAGGACTCAATTATAGATTACAACATCTGGCCACTGAGATGTCAACATTGTCAAAATGAGGATTGAGAAATTTTTGTTTGGTAGAAAGAAAGAAGGAGAAGGAAGAGGGAAGACAAAAGAAGGATGAAAAAGGAAGAAAGGAAAGAGAAAGATGGAAAAGGATGGGAAGGGAAGCAAGAACTTCCAACATGCGCTTAAATGAAGAGGGGAACATCAAAGTCTTGATTTACAGTCATAGAACCCAAGTGCAAATATGTGAATAGAGTGCCTGTTGCTAGTTAAAAAATTAGTTCTTGCGATGGGAAAGATTTCAGCTAGCTAAGAGCTTTTGCCTAAGGAGGCAGCTCCACGGGGACTTGCAGCCCCTTCAGGGAAAAGGAGCAGGTTGCAAGGACATGAGTCTCAGCTTTAAAGTTCCACTTTTCAGCTTAAAAAAAATTTATCTTCAGGGAACTTCCCAGAGACTCATACTCCAACCAAGGACTATTCGTGGAGATAACCTAGAACCCCTGCACAGATGTAGCCCATGGCAGTTCAGTGTCCAAGTGGGTTACCTAGTAATGGGAAGAGGGACTGTCTCTGACATAATCTGATTGGCCTGCTCTTTGATCACCTCCCCCTGAGGGGGGAGCAGCCTTACCAGGCCACGGTAGAGGACAATGAAGCCACTTTTGATGAGAACTGATAGACTAAGATCAGAAAGGAGAGGAGAACCTCCCCTATCAGTGGACTTGGGGAGTAACATGCATGCAGAAAGAGGAGGGAGGGTGGGATCGGGAGGGGAGGACGGAGGGGCTTATGGGGGGGATACAAAATGAATAAAGTGTAATTAATAAAATAAAAAAATTTATCTTATGTGTTTTGCCTGCATGTATGTCTATGCACCACATGTGTGCCTAGTGTCTATGGGAGCTAGAAGAGAGCACTGAATACCCAGGGTCTGGAGTTACAGATGGTGGCAAGGTACCGTGGGGGTGCTGGGAATCAAACCCAGGTCCTCTGGAAGAGCAGCCCGTGCTCTTAACCACAGAATCATTTCTCCAGCCCTAGCTGCCTGCTCTTAAGACTTAGGCCACTGTCCCACCCTTCCACCTAAGAGTTTCTACTTAAACACAGTTCTCTACTTAGAGCTAGATGGGTGGGGACTGGGAGCTATGTGGCTCTTGCAGAAGCAGGCACTCTTGTGGCAGCGGTCGGACCTAGCTGCCACTTTAGACTCCAGGAGCAGACTTACCTTGCAATGTCCCCTTTCAAAGACTGTCCAAACCTCAGTGCTTGCCAACTCCTAGGACTCCCCCACCCTCTGTATCATGGTGTCCAGAAGAAGTCCTTACTCAAAGGTCTGACTTCTAGGACGAGGAGGGAGGTTGTCTTAGTATCCATTGGCAAATAAGAAGAGACATTACCGTCCCAGCAAGTGGACAGATGTCATAGTGGCTGCCCAGCAGGGAGCCAGCCAATCGCTTCCCTGACTTGAGGGCAATCTCCGTTTCACAGCGCTATGAGACTACAAAGTCAACATTCCCAGGAACTACACCTGTGGGGAGAGGCCAGGCTCAGAGTCAGCCCAAACGGTCCTGTGTAAAGCTGCCCTTAAGTTCCAAGTTTTTGTTTTAAGTTCCAAGTGTTTGCAGCTTCCCGCTGTGTTCTTGGCCTGCTGCTGCTGTTTGTTTTTGGAGGCACTAGGGGCTGAACCCAGAGCCTTGCACGCACCAGGGAGGTGGTTTACCACTGACTTACATCCCTAATCCTTTTGTGTTTTCACAGTCAGGTGGTGATGGAGTGAGAAGGAGGGAGGAGATGAAATAAATGTTCATTTATAAGAAAGCTAGGCTAAGAGGCTTAAACAGCTCACCGATTCCATATAAAAATTAACTGGGCTGGGAACAGTGGTGCACACCTGTGGTCCCTGCTACTTGGGAGGCTGGTGTGGGAGCATGGGCACAGATGCTGAAGGGTGGACCAGGCAGCCCAACAGGACCTGCACCTCAATAAATATGGGAAGGGCTACAAGTTTGGATCTGTGCTGGTTGATTTGTATGCCAACTTGACACAAGCTAGGGTCATCTGAGAGGAAGAGAACCTCAACTGAGAAAACGCCTAAGACCCAGCTGTAGGCAAGCCTGAAGAGCATCTTCTTAATTAATGATGGATGCAGGAGGGCCCCGCCCATTGTGGGTGGAGCCATCCCTAGGCTGGTGGTCCTGGGTTATATAGGAAAACAGTCTGAGCAAGCCTTGGGGCTCAAGCTAGTAAGCTTCCACGGCCTCTGGATCAGCTCCAGGATCCTGCCCTGTTTGAGTTCCTGCACTGACTTCCTTCAATGATGGGCTACAATGTGGAAGTGTAAGCCAAATAAACCTTTTCCTCCCTAGCTTCCTTTTGGTTATGGCATTTCATCAAAGCAATAGCAACCCTACTGAAGACAGGATCCCAGCACCCACATTGGGCAGCTTACAACCAGCATGTAACTCCAGGCCAGAGAATCCAACACCCGCGCTTGGCCTCCACAGGCAACTGCACGTCCCCACACAAAAACGCAATCAAAAATGTTAGAAATCCGCACAACACTTTCATAAACCTGATTGCAAACACCTCACGCTTTCCAAAGCCCCACCCCTTGCTCTACATTATGTAGACCTCACAATGATTTGGAACTTCGTGGAGCCGGCAGTCCCGGGTCCCACTTCCTAGGTGAGGAAACCAGGGCTCGCTCTCGCTGTCACACCACTTGCAAAGGGTGAATAACGCTGAGGAAAAACCGCAGCCAAGCCCTGTGCCTCGAGGCTGTCGATAGTGTCTCACTGAGAGCTGGCCCCCGGATGCAGGAGGCAGATTCACTCCGCCTTTGAATCTTCGCCGGAAGTCTCCCGGTCGGGGGAGGAGCCGGGACCCCTCGCGCGCATCCGGCTCTCCAGCTGGCTGAGACGCTGTTTCAGCTTCATCTGCGAGGCGCTGTACTCAGCCAGGAGCCGTGCGAACCTGGTCTGCAGGGCGTCCAGGGAGGACTCCAGGTGCTCCACCTTCTCCCCAACGTCCCTGGTGTCTGTCCTGGCCCGGAGCAGGTCCTCGTCAATTAGGTTGTCCTTCATCAGAATCTGTCGACCCTTCTCCTCCAGGGCCTCCTTAGCGTCTGGGTACTCGGTGAGGGCCTCCATCAGGTCGTCCTTGGACAGGCAGAACAGGTCCGAGTAGCCGATGCTCCTGATGTTGGCCGTCCTGCGGTTCCCCGACTTGCTCCCCTTAATGTTTAAGATGCTGATCTCCCCAAAGTAACTGCCGTCGCTGAGGACCACAAACTGGGTGACGCCGTCGTCCGCCACCACGGCCAGCTTGCCCTCCTTGATGATGTACATCTCCCTGCCGATGTCTCCCTTTCGGCAGATGTAGTCCCCGGGGCTGAACACGGCGGGCCGAAGCTTCAGCACCAGCTCCACCAGCAGCCCGGCCTCACAGTCCTGGAAGATCCGGACTTTCTTCAGCGTGTCCAGGTGCACGTTGATGGCGATCTCGGCCTTCAGCTTGTCCGGGAGGTTCTTGAGCACTTCCTTTTCATCCACCGTCTTCCGGTTAGCCCACAGATAGTCAAACCACCGGATGACCCGAGTCTCCAAGTCCTTGGTGACCTTCCGGAACTGCATGTACTGCTTGATGGAGTCGATCTTGGCCTGGAACTCTGCTCTTGAGGCATTCATGTTGGAAATCATGGCGCCCACGTTGCCTACGATCGTGGCAAAGATCAGAATGCCCACCAGGAAGTCTACGACCACAAAGAGATACTCCTCATCTTTCACGGGGGGCGGGGTCTCACCAATGGTGGTCAGCGTCAAGGTGGACCAGTAGAGACTGTAAATGTACTTCCTGGAGAGACGCCCGTACTCCGGCTTGGAGATATTTGGATAGACCCAGGTGTCTGTGCCAAAACCAATGAACTTGGAGATGGCAAAGTAGATGCAGGCATTCCAGTGGATGATGACAAGGATGTACAGCACCAGGTTCCCTATCCTGAACACATTAGGGTAGTTGGTCCTTGTCTCCGTGCGGTCAAAGAATTCAAAGAGCCGAGAGAACTTGAACAGACGGTTGAACCTCAGTTCCGGGTAGTTTATGCCCACCTTCAAGTAAGCCAGGTCTGTGGGGATGAGAGACAGGCTGTCGAGCTTGAAGTGCACCGTCTTTGTGTAATGCTTCCACAGCCTCTGGGTATCCCTGACCATTAAGCCTTGCTCAAGGAAACCTGAGGATGGAGAAGGGAGCGGTCACTTGGGTGCCAAAGAGGCTTGAGCTGGCTGCAGAAAGCCATTTCCCACCGTGGTTACACCGCAGTGATGTGTATATGACAAACAGTAACACTGAAACTTACTCTGGTATTTTTTTTTCTCTAGAGTGTTTCAGTTTCTTCTGTTTAATTCTTTTCTCTGCTGGGGACTGAACCCAGGGACTTGCATGAGCTAGATCTCTGTAACTGAGCTGCGTCCCCAGTTCTCTAGTCAGGTTTAAGAATTATAAATCAATTGGATAACTTGGAAAACAAACTGGAAATTAGATGATAGCAAAGATAAAGATTGTAATTGAAGAGACAAATGTATCAAATATTGTGCCTGTGGAGGCTGGCTGAGAGAATGTGGGCTTTCCTAATGCTCTTCTCTCTCTGCCTTTTGTGTATGTTGGAAAACATTAACCACCAAACTTCAGAAACTCAGCTCAAAGCCTACCAAGCTGGTGACAGTGCTCAGTGAAACAGTGCTGGGCTTAAGCCATGAGGCACTTTTATAAGTTCAAGGTGTCACTGCTGCTAGCCCAACACCTTTCTAAGAATGAAAATTAAGGTTGTTGCCATTTATGACTCATTCAAGTTCAGCTCTTGTATTCCTCAGGTCACTCTTGTTAAATAATTGCCCTGCAGGGTGTCTACAGGGGGGCGGGTTCCAGGATCTCTTAACCTCTTTCCTGCTGAGGAAATCCTTAGATGCTTAAGTATCTTCCATAGTATGATGTCCTCTGTTTTCATGTGACCAGGACATATGCTCTTGATTATTTTAAATTCTCTCTCTGTTTCTTATAGTACGCACTACATATAGTATAAATGCTACAAAATCATATTGTGCTGTGAAGGGATAATGACAGGGAGAAACAAAACCTCTAAATGTTCAGCACAGAATTTTTTTTTCAAGTATTTTCTATTTAGTTGATTGGTCCGCCAGGTGCAGGATCTATAGACGCCATGGGTGCTTGTGTGTGTGCTTCTGGCATGCCTTGGGCAGCACCCTGGCTTTTGGATTCTTCATCTTTTTATGATCCTCCCAAGTGTGAAGATCTTTTCCTTTTGGACTGTGATCATGGCCACCTGGTTTCTTGTCCTGTCTCTTCCCCAGCTTCCTGCTGAATCTGGCGTCACCAGGGACAGTATCCAAGCTCAAGAAGGGGCGGAGTTGATGACTGAGTGAGGGCACGCTGTTCCACTGGGCAGGGTTTCCGTGGCAACTCACAGACCACTGTGTCTGTGTATGCCAACCTCAAGCTGTGCATTGGAGGTCTTAAGACGCTGGGCACCAGTGTGGAAGGAAGCAGGGGTTGCCAGTGTGCCTGGCTGTGTGGGAATGTGGACTTGGGGTTTTAGTCTCTGAATCAGCAAGGTGGAGACAGCCTTGTTTCCTGTTTCACATACTGGTTATAGTGAGAGAGCAAGGTGACCTGAGAGGATTTGTGAGTTGTGGCTTCCTGGTGTGATTCCATGTGTTTCTATTGAGCATGGCAGGGGTGTGAGTTCCAAAATCTTAGAAGCAATGAGAAGGGCCTCTTCCTGCTTGGGTAACATGTGCCTGCACATTATAAAAAAAGATCCCTGAAAGGTGGCCAGCCCCAGCTCTTACACATAGGCCAGGGGCTGTTTGAAAGACCTCACTATCTTCCTGGGCCCTCTTTTGAATCTCAGTTCTTCACACCTTAAAACTTCTTTGAGGGGCTGGGGAGATGACTCAGCAGTTAAGAATGCTCCCTGTGCTTTTTAAACGTTTCAAATTCAATTCCCAGCACCTGTGTCTCACAAATGCCTGCACCTGCAGCTCCATCGGGGGCAGGGGAAGGTCTGCTGCCCTCTTCTGGCCTCTATGGGCACTGCACTCATGTGCCCAAACCCACTCACACACACACACATATTGCTTAATTAAGAATAATATGCTTGCAAATAATAACAGAAATAATTGTGGAAGCCCTCTGAGAGTGACACGTACCTTTCATGTTTCTGAGGAGAGAAACTTGGAGGATGAACCATGTCGCCTCACACAGTCAGTACTAAAAGGGTCCTTTGAGGTGACAACCTTGCCTTATGTCACAGGTGACAAAAGTGAGGTCCAGAGAGCCAGCTTGATTTTCTCGTGTAACGGTGGGACAGCAGATCCCAGAGCCCAGGTGTGTCAACCCCTGCTCAGGTCTTGTTGAAGGATTTAGCATACTAGTATCAATATACAAACACTCTGTGTTTGGTGACACAGATCTCCCAGGCACCTTTTGATCAAAGGTAGGTAGCAGCCAATCTACTACTGAGTCTTCCTGGGTACCCTATGAGCCCCCTACTGAGGGCCTGTGGCCTGGTCCAGGTAAGTCCTTGGCCTTGGGGAACACTCACCTGTGCGGGCTCGAACCAGCATGTCTACAACGTAAAGGACATCTGCGGAGTAGTCCAGGACCAGCCACAGCATCAGGTTCTCTGACTGAAGCTCATCAAAACAGGCCCTGAAGAAGCCAAGTGTGACACGTGACAAGATGGCGTAGTGTTGGGGTACAGACCTTTCCCTGCCCTGTGCTGTAACCAGGCTCATTGTAACCAGTAGCAGCTCTTCCTGCAGGGCTTCGCATGCTAGGTAGCAATTTCCTCCGAGATAAAAACATTCTATTTTGGAAGGAACGTTCTTAAAATAGGATTTTTACAGAGAGGTTAAGCAATATATGCTCTAAAGGGAGGTGAAATACTTCGTGGGTGCTCATTGAGACAGAAAGTGAACAAAGCAGCTTCAGGAAGCCCCTGAAGCTGACCATATTCACAAGGACCCCCTTCTCCAAAGAGTATACAAACAGTAAAGGCTGCAGAGAGTCTCCCTCAGACAAGCCACGCAGCCTGGAAGAAGCAGGGACCAGCTGAAGGTCTGAGAAGAAGCAGACGGGCTGAGCTGCCTAGGAGAGGCTCTGACCAGCTGAGCCACCGGGGAAGACCCTCTCCAACCTGCTGAGCTACCTGAAGGCTGTGCAATGCACCCCAGGTCTCCAGCCTTCACCAGCTGATGCCCAGGCTGTGGAGGGCTTTGCTACCTTTGAGTCGTTTGTGCTTCTGTAAGTAAGCACACATTTTAGCTTGAGGATGAAGCAAGTGGAGGTCACAATGGGATTCTTCTCAGTTCCTAGGGAGGCATATGAAGTGCCTCTGTGGGAGGCAGGCTGGACTGGGGACCCCTCCCTCCCACTCCAGCCCCCATAACGGTGAAATCTTGATGATGAGGAAGATGGCGATGATGAGGAAGATGGCGATGATGAGGTAGATGTGTCCCTGAACGCCTGCTTAGGGCCACCTGCAAGCCCCGTGCCTCCTCTAGGAGGAATGGCAAGTCCTGTATTCTTGTCCTCTAGCCCTGCTGGGAAGGGCCCTCAAGCCATTCCTTACCTCCAGAGAGCAGCAGTGGACTCTCAGGTCCACTCAGCAGCCTGCACCCTATAGATTTTCTCAGGGGAGGGCCCTGCAGGCTTCCTTACCTGGCAGCATGGTTAGGAGTGCGCCACGGCCCCCGTGGCCCCTCTGCCAGGACACCCTGCAGGCTTGCTTAGGAAGTTCTCTTCTACTCCCCCAACCCAACGGGGGTGCATCCTGCCCTCGTACCCCCAGCAACAGTCTTGGAGTGGGGTGCTTACTAGAAAGCTATGGCTAAGTAAGTCCTGTGGCTCCCATCTCTGCATCCCCAGAGCCCAGGTTCAACAACCCACTTGCTAGCAAAGGTCCTGCCATGTCCTCTCCTTTTCCACCAGTCACCCAGGGAAAACTCTAATGCCTCCGATCTTCTGCAGAAAAACAGCTGCTCCTTCTAACAGGCTGACCTAAGAGCACCGCAGAGCACACATGTGCCTCCAGTAGAACAGCAGAAAGTGCCCTTGTTACAAACAGCAACCTGCCTAGGAAACCAGAAACCCGGAATCTACCCTCGGAGAGCAGCTCGCCCACCGCATCACTGAATGCTCACCCCAAGGCGGGTTCACCGGAAATGCTTCCCTAGCCCCTTAGAACAGTGACTTAGTCCCTCCCCCGTCCTCGCACAACTCAAATGCAGATTTCAGAATGCAGAACCCTCAGCATCCATCTCAAGCTCGGGGCCGCTTCCCACCGTGGTTCAGAGCACCTTCAGGGTCCTCCTTGAAACGACTCAGTTTTCAAATGGAGAACCTCAGGCAGCGGTTCTGTGGGTCACCACAACGCGGGGAATGGTATCAGGTACGCAGCCATGGGAGGGTTGAGAGCCACTAGTCTAAGGCCGCAGAGCGGAGAGGAGGGAGGCTGTGGTGAGACTCGGCACCTCTGGGCTTTGCTGGCCTCTCCCCTCCTGTCCCTCCACCCTGGCCTCCTAAAGCAATGTCCCTGCCCCAGTGCCTACCTGCACACAAGCAGACACCAGTTATAGAAGACTGGCAGGGCGATGACGGTCAGCCAGCGGTAGTAGACGGTGCTGGAGGGGTCCACCACGATGGCGTCCTTCTTCCTCCTGGAAACACAGACATTCGGGTGGCGTCAGTGACCCGAGAGCAGTTTTAGGTTGAGATGAAGAAGTGAGTGGGGGGTCACAACAGGATTCTTCTCAGTTCCTGGGGAGTCATATGGAGTGCTGCTGCGGGGAAGGCAGGCTGGAGTGGGGGCCCCTCCCTCCCACTGCAGCCCCCAAGATGATGAAACCTTGATGAGGTTGGTGGTGATGATGGCAATGATGGTGGTGGTGATGATGATGCTGGTGTTTACATGTGCCCTGAGGCACCATTCTTGCCCCTCAGGATTTGTTCTGGGAATGAGAAGGCAGCGTGGCAATGTGACTGGCTGCCAGTGAGGAGGGAACAGCTGGATCTTGAGGAGAGCCCTGTGCCTATGCCAGTTCCCAGAGACACCCATGCGTTCTGCAGAACTGAGGCTGGAAGTGTGTGTGTGCACGGCATGCTGTCTCTGAGGTGGTTCACAGGCCCTGGAGTGAGTCCTGGGGCCCTCTACCCTTCTCCCTACATTTATGAGAAGATGGAGCTCCTGGTTCCATTATAACTGCCTATCGTCCTAGAGGTCTGAGGTAAAGCTCTGCATTGAAGCGTTGAGAAATCAGCGGCTCAGGCTGATGGTATCCACTTCCACTGGCCCCTGTGGAGTTACAGCCAAGGCCAGAGGCAGTTTGAAGCAAGGAGTCCTGAACTGAAATCCATATGCTAGGTGGGAAATGTCATGCATGGTTTTAAAAGTCACGTGTCATGCCAACTGGCTGAGTCGGTTCTGTTAAAAGGCTGACTGCAGTGGTCATGTACATGCCTGTAATCTCAGTGGGGTACACGCCTGTCACCTCAGCACGTGGAGGCTAAAGCAAGAGGATTACGTTCAGGCCAGCCTTGGCTACAGAGGACATTCTGACTGTTCTAGTTTGCTTTCTGTAGTTGTGATAACTACCGTGGCCTAACGCAATTTGGGAGAGGAAAGGGTTCATTTCAGCTTACGCTTCTAGGTCAGTCGGGGCAGGAACTCCAGGCAGGTACCTGGAGCTGGAACCGTAGGAAGACTGCTCTCTCTCTCTCTCTCTCTCTCTCTCTCTCTCTCTCTCTCTCTCCCTCTCTCTCTGACTTCCTTAGCTAGCTTTCTCATACACTCAGGACCACCAGCTTCCAGGCAGTGCTGTGTGCAGTAGGCTGGGTCTTCGCACATCCGACATCAATCGAGACAGTCCTCGATCGTGACAATGAGGCTATCTGAGGTAGGCAATCCTCCAGTTCCGACTCCCCCAGGTAACTCTGGGCTGTGTCAAGGTGACAGCTGAAGCTGATTAGACACTGTCTGACAAACCAGAACCGAACCAAGATAAGCAGACCATTCGGGTGTTTTAAATAATTGTTGAAGTAATTTTTTATACACTGCTTTCAGAGCATGCAGTTTAAAGGATGAGCCTGTTAGCTTGCAGATCTGTAGATGGAAAGTCAAGAATGGGTCTTGCCAGAAAAAGATTTTAATTTTTTTCCTGCAGGTTTTATAGGAGCCATTTTCCTTGTTTCCTGTGTCGTGTTGGCAGGACTCAGCTCCTGCACCTGTAGGCCTGCCGTTCCCATGTTCTTGCTGGCTCTCCCTAACGCACGCTCTCCCTAACTTTGCGATGCAGTGGCAGGACTGTGGAGCTGTCTGTGTGGGTAATATGTCTGCCGAAGCAGCGTAAGGACCGGAGTTTGAACACCTAGAACCGGAGCAATAGCTGGGCAGACATGGTGGCTGCCTGTAATCTCAGCGCGGAGGAGGCAGAGACAGGACATGCCTGGGGCAAGCTGGTTTAGAATCGGTGAACTCCTTCAGAAAATACGGTGCAGAGTGATGGAGGAAGGTACCTGTCAATTTCCGGTTTCCACATGCGCAGATGTGTGCTCCCGCACAGACAGACATACACATGCAAGAAAGGAGGAAGAGAAAGAAGAAAAAAATAGTGTCTAATCCTTGGGACCGGTTGTCCTGGTTAGGTATAATGTTAACTTGACCTAACCCAGAGTCATTTGAGGGAGTCGGAATTGGGGTATTGGCACCTGTGGCCACATCTGTGAGAAACTGTCTTGATGGACGGCTGATGTGATGGTGCCATGGTGGGTGGCACCATCCCTATGCTGATGGGCCCAGGCTTGTTAAGAAGAGGAGGAAGGGAAGGCCACCACGAGCAGGAGCAGCTGCGCCATCTCTTGTTTCTTGCTAATTTAATTTTTTTTTATATCATGTCCAGCTTCAGGGTGAGCTATTGTCACCAGTCTAACCCTTCAAGTATTTTTAAAAGGTTCTTAATTCAACTGAAGCCTGAGGATGCCTCTGCGAAGGAGGCCTTAGATGCGGGGAGCCACAGAAAGCTTCATTTAGCAAGGTACCCTTAACAAAAGCCAAGTCTCAGCTGCTCTCAGCTGCCGAGTGTCGCCCTGTTACATGCAACCGTTCCACGCAAACACGACCAGGTGCCAGGCTCCAGCCAACCCAGTCGTTGATTTAGCGTATCCCTGGCCATAAGCACTGCCAGTTGGTACAGCTACAGCTCTGAGAGCTTATTTAGTTTTGGGGCCACTTGATGCTAGCATTGTGGATGAAACAGGCTTTTAAATAGGATTTTATCTTTCCACAGTGGATGAGAACAGTTTGTTAATCAAGAAGCACAAAGGTCCTCTGTCCTCATAGCAGCTGGAGTGGCTTCTTGAATGTCACCAGCAGATGGCGCTGCCCACAAGCCTATAGTGCCCATCTGCTGCCTGCAGAACCTCAGCTTGCTTTGGCCAGCCTTGGAGGTTTTAGGCTTTGGCTTTCAAACCTCCTGCTTCCCAACTGTTGAGGACCTCACCCAGTGTCATCCAGCTGTGTCCCTGGAGCTACCCACACTGTCCCCCACAAGCCTTAGATAGACTTGCAAAAGCAATGCTGCTTTGAGCTAAGAGCAATCTGATCCTAAAGGAGACATTATTCTGTATTTGGGGACTAAATGAAAATTCTAGAAATAGGAAGAGGCCCGGAGAGAACTGTCATCAATCGTCAAATGTCCTGATTTGGTGAGAGTTTTTTGTTTCATCTCTTGCTCTGTGGTTGCAGCGTGGGGTCCTGGGGCAGCCAGCACCAGCCTCTCCCATCTGTGTCCACATCCTAGCCACAGGAGTCCTTCCCGGAGCTGCGGGTGGCTTTCCTCCCACAGAGCCCTTCCCTGCCTGGAGACCAGAGCTTCCAGGGGGCCGGCACATACCACAGCAGCCCAGCTTTGTGGGTAAACCATTTTCTTTTCTTGATTGATGGCATCTGAGTCTCTGGCTTTGCTGTTGCAGTTTATACAAGCCGAACACACCCTTTTTTCACGGAAGGAATTAAAGTTCCACTCAACAGACTGGGATGGAAAGAAGGACCAAACCCTGGCCCTTTCATCAGCTGGAAGTCAAGCAATTGGCATTTCTTTCCAATGTTGATGGCTTCCCCTTACCTTCCACGAGGGCTCCCGGCATTCCTAAGAGGCAGAAGCCACAGACCTGTGCGGCCACACATGTGCCAATCTCATGGCCAATCTCACTGACTCACGCAGTCCCAGGGCCCTGTGATACTGACACACTGAACTCATCTGCTAGCTCAGCGGCTGTGAACCCAGCCACAGCAGGTCACCATTCAAGAGGCTGGTCACAGGAGGGAGGGAAGAAATTTCTTCCTCCGGTTGTTCTGATGGTTTCCTTGAGATTAGCTCAAGTTGGCCTTAAGACAGGGTCGTTTCCCTGATTCCCAGACCTTGAGGCAGGAGCATAGACATGAATGCTATAGCCAAGGAGACTACGCACTGCTCCGCAGGAGGTGAGAAAGCCAGGTGACCTCAAGTCTGCATCCTGGAATAGGGCAGTGCAAGAGGGTATTCAAGCTGAAAAGGTTTATCCTGAAACCCCTTGGCTTCCTCGGTGAGAAAAGCAAAGAACAAAAAGTAATATGACTTTCTTAGCGAAGTCATACAGAATTGTCTTGCCTCCTCTCTCTGCTCCCCCATGTTCAGCATGGGTGGGGGTGGGGTGGATTTCCAACAGAAGGAATGATTCTACAATGGTTCACTGGTGTCCAGAGAAGGTGGCAAACAGCAGGAGGAGAAACGGGCAAAGTGAGGCTTCTGTGCAGAGGTGGGGTGGCCAGGTGGCAGTGCCGCTTGGCTGGAGCTGGGAGCTTTTCCTCCTGCGAGTTGCTGCAAGTGTTGGCACCATTTCAGGCCCTGCAGGGAGGCAGGGAGGCAGGGAGACCGAAGCAGCGCAGGGATGGGAGTGGTGTCAGTGACTCAGTTCCCTCCTGCCTGAGGTGATGGTGGCAGCAACTTCACCCACTTCTCCCCAGCCTTTCTTCTCGTGTGTGTGTGTGTGTGTGTGTACACGTATGTGTACAGGCATGTGTCTGTGCATGTGTGTATGTATGTGTATACTTAGGCCTGGTTTTTAAAAAAAAAAAAAACTTGGGTTAAGAGGAAAAGCATTTGGCTAAATCCAGGCTTCTGGGTAAACAAGAATTAACGGTTTGAATCCCATCCAGTTTCTGAGCTTCAGATTCTACTCATCTGCCGATCCATCAGCAGTCACTGTCAATGGTTCCCAAGAGACCATGGCGGGAGCCAGTGCCTTGTGACATCTCAGCGTGACTTAGTAAGCTTCTTCTCTGCTATTTTGAATGTCATTGTCCAAGACTTCCTCTCCCCATTTAAGATGAGGCCTCAATTGCTTGTTTCTGGATTGTTTGACTCATTTGAAAATTCCCCCAATGACTGAAAATCCCTTGGAGATGGAAGAGAGAACACCCAGCTCTTGGGGTACAGTGGCTCCAGTTCCACAAGGTTAGGTCCAAGTGGAGCAGCATCTCAGCACATATTTTGCTTTATACTTGAGACTTGGCCTCCAAAAACCCAAAACCCTCCTCCTCCACGAAGACCCCGCATCCTGCATACACATTCAGCTCCCACCCTGAGCCTCTGGAGCGTGGTCAGGTGTCTCCGGTCTAGCTAGGCCTTGCCTGGCTCTCACTCAGTTCTCTGTTTATTTGGTCACACTGGGAAATGTACTGAGTACAGCATCCGTCTCCTTTCGCCTAAGGTAGTGGGAAGATGATTTCATCAGATTAGCTAAGGAAGTCTTTGTTCACCTAAAAGAAATAGAGCCAGCCTTGCTAGCTGCAGCAAGCTCCAGACTCCCCTCACCTGAAAAGCAAGCGAGTGCAGAGGGCAAAGGCCCCACTGAGTCCTCTCCTAGGCCTGTTTTAGGCCTGCTGAAGGATTAATAGCAAGTTAGAAGCCTCTTCTCTGGGAGCTGGTAGTTGAACCTGAGTCCTCTGACACAGCAGCCACTACCCTTCATCATCTATGGGCCATCTGTCCTAACACCATCTCCCCCTGACCTGGAAGTTACTGAGTATGTAACGCTGGCTACCCAGCAAGCCCCGAACATCCGCCTGTTTCTGTCTCCCCAGCATTAGGCTCTTGGCTTTTTCCCCCCCATGCATTCTTGGGGCTGAACTTCGGTTCTCATGCTCACAAAGCAAGCACTTCCCTGACAGAGCTCTCTCCCCAGGCTGTTGAATGCTCAGTGGTTGTGTATTCCACAACTTACTGCATGCCCTGCAGTGCAAAGATGCCACCTCAGAGACAAATGTGGAAGTTCAACGGAGAGTCCAGAAAGACCCGTGATGTCTCCTGAAGTCTCATCATTGTCCCTCTCCGGGGGCCTTGGATGTTCACCTAGAAGCCCCAGACTTGGGCCTTTCTCCTCTTCAGCACAAAACCAAATGGCGTTGTCTCTAGCAAACCATACAGGGACTATCTATTCTCCAGCTGAGCTCACACCTTCATAACTTCAGTGTTCCTCAGAGGAGTCTGACCAAAGAGGAGGCTTTAATCCCTTCTGCTTCCCAGAAGGCAGGCTCTGGGCAGGAACACACCTGCTCCTGAAGGGTGGGGGTGAGGTGGATGTGGAGGGGTGGGGGTGGAGGGTAGAAAGGGAGGTCAGCTTTCTCTCCAGGTCCAACCTCTTTTCCCTTCCAGACTGGTGTGGACATCCTAAAGAGACCTCTGGATGCTTGGTGGTTAGCGAGTTGATGTGGGCTCTATAAGACCTTGATGTCGGGTAGCCCCATGGCTACAATTACTTCTTACAAAATAGGGGAGGCAGAGATTCCCTCTTGATGATGGAGCCCGAGGGAAGAGCACCCCCCAAGAGCACAATTGCAGCTCTCTGGAGGAGGGGGAGGGTTTGGGCCATGCGAGGTCCACAGGAGCCACGGCTCACTGAGGCTCCTGCTCGAAGCGGACACTCTCTACCTCCCCCTCCTCTGTGCTCACCCTCACACCCCTCTCCCCACCCAGTGCTTCTTGGCCGCAGGAGTGATTCTGCCATTGGATCACACCAGCCTATGAATTTTCTTTCTAGGAACATGCATTCGCCTCTACACATGTACTGGCGCCTCCTCGGCTCTCCCCAGACAAAACAGGACCCACATTTGAGCAAGATGGGCCATAATGCAGTCTGGGATGAGGGTCCTTGAGAGAGGTGGCTGAGACCGGAAACCCCTGATGAGTCTTGGGAGCTTTAGGCAGGATGGGTTAGGTTTAAACGAGGCTGAGAATTCTGGTTCAAGGGCTCCCTGGACTCGGGGTGGAGAATGTTAGAGCATGAGGCACATCCTTTCTTACCCTTTCCCTCCGTCTGGTGGTTCCTGTCCTCCTGGGTCAGGCTGAACATTGCTTTCCCGGCTGGACACCTCCTTAAGCTTAGCTCCATGAAAATGATCCAAAAAGGAGTCAGGTCTCTGCTCTTCGTGGTGTGAGTGCCTATTAGCCCACGCACGAAGTGAGATGATGAGGCGCGACACCCTGGAAGGGGGGAGGACAGACAGTGACTAGAGGATGAAGGACAAAGAAAGAGCCTGCTCTGGCCTCAGGAGCCCCGGAAGAAGCAGTGGAGGTGAGTCTGGGCCTGTGGCTCAGGCTTCTATCTCTACTGTGCCCTTTTCTCCCCTTCTTCCTTTCCCTCTCCAGTCTGTGGCAGAGCCTCACTGGTAAATTACTCTCCCCTCCCCCCAAGATTTATTATTTATACAGTATTCTGCCTGTATGCCTACAGGCCAGAAGAGGGCACCAGATCTCATTATAGACCCATAGCTGGGTTCTGGGAATTGAACTCAGGACGTTTGGAAGAACAGCCAGTGCTCCTAACCTCTGAGCCATCTCTCCAGCCCACACTCTCTCTCTAATATGGCTCTGTCCTTCCCACAGCCATGCTTCTTCCAAAGGGGCATCAGCAAACATATTATTCCTTTTGTCCGAAGCAGAGCTCTTGTGTGTTAGGATTGCTAAAGGAAAGCTCGAGAGCTCAGCAGCTAAGAGCACTTGGTGCCCTGAAGAGGACCTGGGTTTGGTTCCAAGCAGCTTACAGCCATTTGTCATTCCACTTCCGGGGGCCTAATGCCTTCGTCTGAATTCCATGGACACAGACATCCACACGGTGCAGTACACACATGCCGAGCAAAACTCTCACACACACGAAATCAAGAAAAGAAAACCTTTCAGAAATACTGCTAAGCACGGGGCAGTAAAAGCATGCAATCCCTGTAGTTTAATGTGAAAGGTCCCCCATAGGTTCCTGTGTCAACCACTTGGCCTCCAGTTGGTGGCTCTGCTTGGGGAGATGGTTCTCAGCTCTGGACACTGTCCCTCCCAGCCTCTGCTAAGGGAATAGAAGGAAGGTCATCTCCTCCTCCTCCATCTCCAGACAACAGGGTCAGACGGCTGGCTCACAGTGCACCGCTCCTGCCTCTGAGCTGCTGACACACCCACTGTGCTGGAGTTGGTCATGCAGCCCCGGGCCTGATGGTGCGTCACCAAAGAGAGACGGGAATGGGGGAGGCCTGTAGAAGAAGGCACAGAGCCATCACAGTCGGCAAGGAAAGGAAGGGATGATGGCCGCCTCCCCAGCCCTGTCCTCCGCTCTCTCGGCACCATCTCCACCACAGGCCGCATAGCTATCCTGATCCTCTGCTGCCTGTCCAGCGTACCTGAGGTCTGCTCGTGTGCACTGACTTGAAGATGTTCTCTTCTTTGAAACCAGAGTCATGACAGAGCAAGTCTTAGTAACACAAAACCCTGGAAACCATTTCCACAGCCAGCTGCTTAAAAACTAGGGCCTGAGGAGATGGCTCAGGAAATAAAATTCCTGTTGTGCAAGCATGAAGAGCCCAGTTTCAGATTCCAACACCCATGAAAAAGCCAGCAGGGATGGAGTGTGTCTGTCATCTCAGCACTGGGGGACAGACAGGGGGACTGGAGATTAGCAGCTGGCCATGACCTTCAGACTCAGTAAGAGACTTAAGATGGACAGCAATGGACAAACATACTAAATGCCAATCTGCAACACACACTCGAACACACACACACACACACACGCACACACACTCACCCATATACATATACACTCATACCACACACACAGACACACACAGACACAAACACTACCCATTTATAAACACACCTAGAACATCCTCCCCCACAAACACACAGACCGCACGCAGACACAGACTCCAGAGTAGAACATTCCCTACAACTAAAACTATGGTGAATAAACAGGTAAATGACTGTATCTGTTTGATGATCAGCTTAACTCGCACTGCAGATGGTGCGGCTGGAAAACTGTGGTACCAGTTTAAGGAAACTGCTGGCTGGTAATGAATCAGCATTTTCGGAGCGCCTGCCATGGGTAGGGGTGGGGGTTGCTGCTGGTGCTGCTCTAGCCACCCATGCCTCCGGCAGAGTTAGAGCCACTTCAGATAAGGCTCAGGAAGCTGGACCGACTCTCTCCCCAGAATGCCTCTGTCGTTAAAGACACGTACATGTGTCCTAGAGGGAGGCAGAGCTCAGTCATGTGCTAATCTGTCCAGTGTTTTTTTTTAATTAATTTTATCTTTATTATTATTATAATTTATTCACTTTGTATCCTAGCTGTAGCCCCTTCCCTCATCTCCTCCTGGTCCCATCCTCCCTCCTCCTTTCCCACCTATGTCCCTCCCCTAGTCCACTGATAGGGGACTCCTCTCCTACTGTCTGACCCTAGCCTATCAGGTTCCATCAGGACTGTCTGGATTCTTTTCCTCTATGGCCTAGTTAGGACACCTCGAATTGTGGTACATTTACACAATGGAATACTACTCAGCAAGTAAAAACAAGGAAATCATGAAAGTTGCAGGCAAACGATGGAACTAGAAAAGATCATCCTGAGTGAGGTAACCCAGAAGCAGAAAGACACACATGGTATATACTCACTTATAAGTGGATATTAAACATATAATATAGGATAAACATACTAAAAACTACATACCTACAGAAGCTAAGCAAGAAGGAGGACCCTAGGGAAGAGGCTGAAACCTCATTCAGAAGGGCAAACAGGATAGACATTGGACACAGGAGAAGACAGGGAACAGGAGAGGAGCCTTTCACAGGGGGCCTCTTTGTAGGGTGCTTTTGCGGGGGTGCATGCTATAGAGTCTAGACATCCTGAGAAACCTTCCATGGCTGCTCCAGGAAATGCCATCCTTGGCAGAGCACTGTGTCCTTCCAGCGTTCTCACGGCTACCCAGTGTTACACAGTCTCTGTTGGCTTTGTTCTGAGTTTCTCCAGGACTGAGAACACTCAATGTTATTTTATTATTATTATTAATTTTAAACCGAAGCCAGTTTTCTTCACCTTTTCTGCGCTCAGAACATCTGGCTCAAGAGGATGGAGGCTCCTCACTGACAGCTTTTGGGGTGCTCGGCTCCCTGCCCTGTTCTTCAGATCTTCAGCCCTCTCTAGCATGCCTTCAGAGGTATCTCCTGTCCTCAAGGTGAAGGGTGTTTGGGGTAATTACCTGGCTGCCCCCTGGCTTGTGAATGAGCTCCGTGCGGACCCCGCCAGTCCTCCAGTCTCCATGGCGATCCCTTGCTGCAGTGTGGAAGGCGTCTCCTCACATGGTGAGGGAGACCTAGGAGATCAAATATGCAGCATGCTAATTGATGTCAAGCTCATCCTGCGCAGCCTGGAGTGAGCTGGGCAGATGCCGGCAGCAGGAGGAAAGGCACCTCTGCAGACAAACGACCCTCTTTACGTGTATTTATTTCGGTGTATATGTACATGTGTGCATGTACCTACATGTGGAGATCAGGCGACAACTTGTGGGAATGGGTTCTGCTCTTCCACGTGTGTGACCCAGGGATTGAACTCAGGCTTAGCAGCAAGCACCTTTACCCGCTGAGCCATATTGTTGGCCCTGAGCGGCACTTTCTTTCCAGCAATTCTGAGTAAGGAGAACAGCTTTTGATCAGTTACTGTATATGAGATAAGCGAAGGCAGGGAAAGTGTTAGCGTGGTCTCCTTCAGAGACCGGGGCCAGGGGAGGTCCCAGCACCTGCTGTCTTGGACCATAGCAGCTGTTTCCAGGCAGTGCTTCCTGAACAAACATTTTTGCTCCCAACGTACCACTGACTTCTGTGGTGAGTCCACCTCCTCTAGAAGCCTTCCTTCTTCCTCTCTGTGGATGCAGTTTCTGGGCAGGTATGTATTCATCTGGCAGACTTCCTACATCCTGGATCAGTGCATGGATCTGTCCCATCCCTCCAAGCACAGTCACAATAACTTGAACAGTGTTTTCAAAACAAATTCATTTGCCTTTGCCCAATCCTGCCCCCGTCCCCAGGAATACGGCAGCCAGCAAAGGGAAGCCACTCCATTTGTGCATTCAAGCTGAACAGCACTGGTACCGGTGGGACAGACCTCGCAAAGCCCTGGCCACGCTGGCAGTGGAGCCTGGTGTCTGATGAACAGCCTAGAAGACGGCCAGGATTGTGTCCGGGAGGGAGCACTAAAACCCACCCCCTAAGGCTGAATTCAACCAGCCTGATTAAAAAGCCAGCCAGGCAATGTCCCCTGAGGAGCTGCACCTCTCTCCACGGCTCCTGAGGAAAGCCGGCAAGGCAAATTAATGCTATCACACGGCCTATTCCAAGCTAATCGGCTTTCTTAATGAGGCGGTAGAAGCAGGAGGCAAAATTAACCTCAGGGGATGCTCGCTCCCTGTGGTGAGTGATTAGAAGTCAGAGTCCTTGAAGGCCAGGTGCTGAGTCCCTTCCCGCAGCAGGCCTCCCTCAGGGGAGGGGTGTGAGTGGGGGTGGGGATGTCTCTGGATAGCCAGCACGCCCCCTCTTCCTGCCTCCTCCCAGCGAACTCACGTTTTCTGCTGGAACCACATGGAGTTGGCAGCCTCCTCTGCTGGAACCACATGGATTTGGCAGCCTCCTCTGCTGGGTGGCCATCCTCAGTGATGGGGACCTTCAAGGTCTGGCTGCTCAGACCACAGATCCCATTCATTCTCCCTCAGCTTCGATCAAGTCACCCCTAATCACAGCCATCTCACTGTGACTACGTTCCTGAGGTCTAGCTTGGCCATGCACGGAAACCCAAACCACCCTGTGACTACTGGGGCCAAGCCAGGAAGTGTGTTGGTTGTGTGCCATCGGTGGCTATCAGCCAAACCCCAGAGCCTTACCACACAAGTTGCTGCTGACTCCGATGTCCCTAGCTTGCACAAGTGTGATTAATTTGTTTGTTTGTTTGTTTGTTTTTAGAGGTGACTATCAGGCCTCCCCATTTATCTGAGTTATGTGATGTCTTGGGATCTTTGGCATGTAGAGGAATCGCTCCTGTGTCTCCCTGCACGATCATGAATACAACAAAGCCTGCACCGCTGACTGGTAGATGACTGTGTATCATCAGCTGCAACCATTTTACCATGCAGTCCTGCCAGAAGACAGGAAATGGAAGTGCAGGGGGCTTAAGTTACTTCCCTGAGGTCACAAGGCCAAACGGCAGAGGGGAAACCCTAACATCACTCCACCCCATTTCTCAAGCTGCCCTCATCTACTGCATGGAGCTGTCCTTCGTGTTTTAGCTGACAGCACAAGTGAAAACAGTTTACTGGGACACGGCTGAGGTCTGGTCCCCACGGCACGCTGTCAGAGGCAAGATTCTGATCCGCCTGACAGGGGTGGGGCTCTGTTTTCAAACTGCTGGAAGCAAATCCCCCCTGTACCCTTAAGGGACAAGTCACATCTTACTGGTGTGCCGGAGGCCCTGCTATGCTGCCGATGTCATGGCAATGTCCTGACATTCCACAGACAACAAAGTGGGAGTCTCCCACAGTGCCTCGGTCGGTTTTAGGAGGTAGTGGCAGGCGAGGGGACGTAGTCTCTCTTGAGTCCTTGGATCTGAGAAGTTGGCCTGCCTTAGCAGGTGGGTAGACTGTGGGTGGGATGGGGGCTTGGGAGGTAAGATAGCTTAGGAAGTAATATCCACCATGCCCCAGGTGATATGAGGTGACTCTAAAATATAACAGGTGTCTGTGTCTTCACTGATTGTGACAGAGGCTTAGCCATTACTGCCATAACAATTAGAGAGCAAATACTAAACATTGTCAACCTGATACCTTTTACTTTTCAGCCACAGTTACCTGAGGACTGGTCACTCAGCCTCCCTAAAGTGTCCTGATCTCTAGAAAGAAAAAAATTTAAAAAATTTGAAATCCCATGCTGATTTAAGTGTTATTCTGATACTCTAGCCCTAAAGGCACACTACACCTGAGGGATGAGGAGAACCTTCTATGAGTGAGTGCAGGGGATCTAAGGAGGCCATTTCTTCCTGATGCATCTCCTCGCTTGCTTCATGATGCCTGAAATTCTGCTGTTGACTATGTCTGTCTTCCGCCTCTAACCTTGGTAAGTGTCTGGGGGCATTTCCATAGCAAATCTAATCATAGCCCACAACCCCCAAAGATGCTCAGATCAACAAGGGGACAAATATGCCAGTGGTCTTATCAGATTATCATGGATTGGAGAATTCCCACGTGCTAGTAACATCCACTCTGCCGCCATAGAACTCTGACATGCAGACTTCCAGGAAGGCGCCCTCATTGTCAGCCACATGATTGTCCTTACTTCTCGGAGGAACTTATCTCACCAAGCACAGGGAAGGGAGAGGGACAGAGCAGAGAGGAGTGTCTGAGATGACATTTGAGTCCCCAAGAGGATGCATGTTCTGAAGAGGAGAAACTGGGTAGTCAGTGTGATGACGGGGAACCCTCCAAGGAACTGAGAGGCAGAAGACAGAGTGGGCTTCCAGGGCACAGGAGCTGACCTCGACTCTGGCGACAGCTATAAGTGCGATGCTGCCTTCCAAGAACAAATTATGAACAGGGCCACACTGGACCCTGGCATCCCTGCTCAGCAAGCCTCAGCCACCTGCCCCAAATAAGCCAATTCAAGAGACAAACAGTGAAAAGCAGAAAAAGCACTGGGAAGAGGGACAGAGAGACCCAATGGTCCCCCAAGTCCATCTTTGATGCACTCACATGCAGAAAGGCCAGATGCACACAAAGCTGAGTCATTCTGAATCTAACCCTAACAGAGGTGTTTATGTCACGCCAGACATAAAGGCCCATCGGGCCCGCATGCAGAAGACAAGTCAAGTCCTTCTAGATGCAGGGCTCTAGGTTCTGCTCTGGTTTTGAGCAAGCTTGAATGTCCCGGTGTTCTGAGATCTGAGTGTGGACCTCTGGTCAAGGTATGCTCCTGCTCATCATCAGCCCATCTTTGCCTGGGCTCCAGTTTCTCCTAGGATGTGGTCTGATGAATTGTCAACCATGTGTGAAATATGTTCTCAGGCAATCAGTTCCCCTATACCAGGCTTCAGTCTCTTCCTCTGCCAGCATGAGGGGCTCTCCCTGAAGTCAACAGTTAAAATGACGACAGCAACAACCAGGACAATGCACTGAGGTGACTTTTAAAACACAAGAGAAGTTTCAGATTGTGGTTTTCTATCTCTGAGTTTGTTGATAGAAGGCCATGAGTATTGGGAAGGTTTCTGATGTCTCCTGTTTCTGGGCGAGGGCAGAGGTGCCGTAAACAACAGAACTGTAACTGGATTTGCACTTTGTGTAACATCTTGTCTTACTCGGGTGACTTGGGGACTGGAGAGCAGACAGACACTACCTGCTGGCACCAGGCTAGAGAACGTGACACTATTCTTTTCTTCTTTTCAAGCCTCGAGGACTCAGAATGATGAGAATCCAGTGCTGTTGGGCACATGTGACTAGGGAATGGAAGCCAGTGCATTTTTAAGTCTTTGGACCTTGAGAAGCAGGGTGAGAATGGGTTTCTTTGGCGATAATTGCTTTGGGCTCTACTCAGACAGCAGCATGAAGAAAACCTCTTCTCTGTAAGACAGAGCCCTGTGCCCCAAAGCTCGCTCAAAATAGCTACACCAGGAAATGGGTTGGGATTTGGGGTGCTCTCAAACCTCATTGTAATTCTCTGTAGCACATTCTGAAGTCTTGCTACTATAGTACCTTAAAAATATGCTGGGTGGCTCAAAGGTAATTGAGTCAAACAACTAAGGGGGAAAGAAAAATTCAAGACTTTTGTGAAACAGTCTTCTTAGGTCACCGAGGCTGGCCTTGAAGTCATGGTTGTATTTCCTCAGGCTTCCAAATACCGAGATGATGGGCATATGTCACCGGGCCTAGACTGTGAGATTTTTATTTTTGGTATTTTTAAAGTGTATTTTTTTTCATTCAAAGGAAGCATTTTCATCCTTTTTTCTGATGTTTCCTTAGGAAAATCATCCTGATAACTAAATAAAGTGAAAGGAAATCTGGGGCTCCACTGTGCTGGCAAGGCTGTCCCAGGAGACAGAGCATTGGTGGTTCTTTCTTATTAGGGGTGTTTAATGAGTGGCCAGTGGCACACAGGTGCTTACAGGCCCGTTCTGTGATTGGGAAGAAACAATGTGTTCAATTTCAGTACTCCAAGTCTCAATGATTTATTTCAAAAGCTCCCCCGGAGGACTAGAATTTTAATGATGTGGTTTGTCCAAAGTTTCTTCCTCTAAAATAGTGATTTTTAGACTTAAAGTGTTTTGTGTATGTGCCAGAGTACTTTTTACTGCTTTAAAAAATTTTATATACACGGGTATTTTGACTGCATGTATGTTCATGCATCACACTGTGCTGGTGCCTGAGAGGCTGGCAGAGGGCAGCAGGTTCCCTGGGAGTGGGAGTTCCACGTTGCTGTGAGCCATCACGTGGGTGCTGGGAATTGAGCCCCCATCCTCTTGAAGAACAGCCAGCATGCGTAGCTGCTGACTCAGCTCCCCAGCCCCATTTGTCCAAAATTGTATGGAGAATAAATAAGTGCTAGGCTGGCCTGGGGAGCCGTGGAGGAGCCTAGACTCGGCCTCAGTCCCCAAGGCAGCTTTACTTTTCTCCTGAACACATGCTGGGCTCTCCTTGCTGATACGGAGGAACATTCTGGAACTTCTTGTATTGTCACAACGTTAGACTCCAGTGGCTGCTCAGGCCATGGTACCGGTGCGGCTTCTTCCCCTCTCTACCAGGCACCGACTAAGATGCTGTGAGTCTCCAGGTAACACGTGTCCCTGTACCAGCACCTTACCCGAGAAGTGACTTTAAACCGAGGTGGGTGTTGGTGGAACACACACTCTGCTCCCACTCTATTCTCTGTCTCCCTCCGGGGGTCAGAGGGTCTGGCTGTGAGCTTGAACCGTGAAACCTCCCCCATCCTCCTGGGCCCTGGTTTCCTTTCCTCAGAGGCCCTGCCATACTGCTGTTTATTTGTCTGTCTGTCCATGGCATTAAATAAATCTTGCACCTCAAGGAACAGTCTCTGACTCAGTGTCCTCTATACTATCTCTTTTGGGGGTCAACTTCTGCTTGTATGAGAGAAAGAGAGAAAGTGTCTTTTTCTCCCAAAGGAAGCATACTTCCTGGCTGTTCTGTGGGAGGAGCTATATGAGCTCTGTCACCAAGCTTTCACTGTATGAATGGTTGGGCAAGGACACACGTAGGCCTTGGTGAGAGTCAGTGAGTGGTCAGGCTGAGAAAGCACTCCTCGGGCACAGGCAGGGAAAGGTTAATTCTAGATGCCTGGCCATCTGGGAGGTCTGAGGGCAAAAGAGGAGAAGGCTTCCATGAAGATGGCTGACTATTTACTTAGCCATAAGCAGCAAACACTATGCCAAGAGTGCAACCCTCACCAGCAGTTTTAACCTTGCCCCAACCCAGGAAGCCAACACTAGACTGACTCCTCCCATGGATGAGGAAACAGAGGCTTAAAGTGACTGCAGAGCCAGTGTTCAGACCCAGGCAGTGTGCCCTGGACCATGCTGGCTATGGGAAGCGGACAGAAGGGCACGGGAGATATCTGAGTCATCTTTCCATTAAAGGAACACCTGAGCTTATCCACTTAGAAACAGCAGGTCTGCTTCCGTTCACAGCTTTGGAGATTCTATTCCATAACAGACCCCTCTCTGTTGCTTTGCATCAATGGCGGGGCATCATACACAGTGGAGCAAAAACTAGAGGGCCAGAGCCTCACGTCTTCCTTTGGGATGATTCATCCAGTGATTTAAGGTCCTTGCACAAAGCCCACCTCCTCTTAACGGCCCTGCCTCCTCCCAGGAGTGCCTCCCATAGACCAAACCAGGTTAACTTAGATTAACACGGGCCTTGGGTAATATTCAAGACCCAAATACACGAAGATGGCAGTTGAGCTTTTCAGCAGGCATCAGTTCGGATCCCTTGAGCATGATGCAAACACCGTCAGCGTGTAGAGCGCCCTTGCGTGCTCAGGACACGGAGAAAGCCTGCAGCTACAGTGCTGGGAGGCAGAAGTCGGAGGCAGGGCGTCAGCATGGCTTCCCAGGATGGTGCTGCGCCTGGCAGAAGGTCAGCAAGAGCTCTCATGGTCCCACAGGTCAGCCGCATCAGGACAAGGCCACGGTGGTTTCTGGGTAAGCAAACTTCGGGGCTGCTCTTGCAGCTCCCTACCTCCAATAGAACTGCCTTTCTCCAAGGCTTCTTCTCTCAGTGACAGGAAGCAGATGGAGACCCCTGCCCAGGGAAATAAGGAAGCAACGGAGAAAAGTTCCACTGGGCGCTGATGGTCTCTGTGCTTCTTCCACTGAGCCCAGAGCCTTAGAAGCCCAGCGTTTGTGCTCGGCCCTGAGCTGCGGCTCTTTCTCCTTCACATCCAGTCTGACATGGATGCTTCCTCCAAGGGTATTTATCAGCTGATCATGGGGAGGAAACTGTTTCTGCCCGCAAGAGTTTTAGCAGTAGACATACCCGAGCATTGTTTGTCTTTCTTTGAAATAGGAAGCAACGACTAAGCAATAGGAACTGGGCCTCAGGGACAGGATCAACACCTGCTAATGGTAAGCTCACAGGGAGCATCCGTGTGAGGTTTGGGTGTGTAGGAGAGAGGGCCACAGCCACGACCCAGCAATAACACCAGGTTCCTGGGATGTGAGCTGTTTCTTCCCCTCTCAGCATTTCAGATGGTCCAAGTTTGCAGTGATCCGCTCCGGCGTTCAGAGGCTGCTGACCATCACGTCCTGTGCCAGGTGCTTTCCTCACTGCTGTGTACCCTGAAGGACAACCTAAGGGCTTAGGGCCCTCAGGATGAGGGTATGGCCTACCAGGAGGCAGCTTTCCACACCACACCAACAGCCAGGAAGCAGGGAGAGGTGAATTCTGGTGTCCCCCAAGCTTTCTCCTCTGATATAGTCCTGGAGCCACACATGCCATGGTATTTACAGTTCAGGTGGACCTCTTCTGCACCTCAAGTAACCCAAAGCTGAAGCTCCCTGGCGAACATGCTCAGAAGTGTGTCTCCTGGGTGACCCCAGTGCCCATTAAGTGGACTACCAGCACTAACCACATTTGGTAGGAGTTTGCTCTGGGCCTGAAGGCTAAGAACATAGACAAATAAAGGCAAACACGCTTCTGAGAAAGGAAGGGAGGCTTGCAACAGAGCGAGAAGAAAGGATGGGTGAGGGCTGGGGGGAGCGAGGGGTTGCATTTTGAGCCATTAGTTACCATGCACCTATGTTCGAGAACAGAGAGAAATTTCTAGGTTTTTTTACAGATAGGAAAATTCTATAATGGTAGGACAAAAGGACAAGTATGAGAAAGTTTCCCCAAGGTTCAACTCAGTCTCCTCGGCAAGAACTTAAGAACCACAGCATGTGAGATGGCTCAGCTGGTGAAGGCGTCTGCTGTGCAAATTTGAAAAACTGAGTTTGACCACTGGGACCCCCATGGTAGAGGGGAGAGCCAACTCACGAAAGTTGTCCTCTGACCTCCACATGTACACAGTAGCACCTATGCACCCCTAATAATAACAAAACAAAATATGAATTAAGAAATGTAGGTTCTCTCCTCTGTTCTAACTTAGACCAAGAGCTGAGGAAAAATGCCCTCTCACAGATGAAAACGCTGAGGCATGAAGGTCTCTCCCAGAATTACTGGTGAGTAAATCCTTGGTTTTCGTCTGGTTGCCTGTGCCTGGATGTCACTGATGTGCCTGACAGCTTGGGCCCCCACAAAGGCCCAGGTCACTGCTTCCTGGCGTTGCCTTAGAAACGAAGGGTAGGGCAGCTGACTTATGGGGCCTCCCTCTGCTCAACTTGGCAATCAGGCACATATATGAGGGGCTATTCTAAAAGAAGAATAAATCGGGCTTCTGTGAGGATCTGCCCAACCTGACAGGATCGAGAATCCCCTGGAGGATGGGCCTCTGAACAGACCCAGAAGAGGGGAAGACACGCCCCTGTGGGCGGTGCCATTCCCTGGCTGGGGTGAACAGAGGGGTTGAGTGATGGGTCTTGTTGAGCAGCAGCATCCATCACTCTCTACCTCTGACTCTGGATGCAATGCGACCTGCTGTTTCAGGCTCTTGTCGCCGCTGCCCTGACCTCACCACCATGGGGTGGTGCACCCTTGAACTGTGAGCCACAACAAACCCTTTCTCCCTTAAGTTGCTTTGGTCCGGGTGTATGATCTCAAGAACAGGAGAAGAAGATGGGACAATACAATGAGCTGCGAATGCCCTGGGCGCCATCCTGTGGCTGGCCAGCACGGAGACACTCCTCTCCATAATCTCCACCGTGGGAACCACCCATGACTTGGAGCAAGCCCATCTTACCTGCCGAGGCCGTTCTCTATGCGATCGAGGTCTCTGTCCGAGGCCGGGGAGGGCTGGGAGCACTGGGTGTTGACCTTGGCCATCTCCTGCACGGGTCACATTTGGCTGCACGGTGGCTGCTGAAATGTGGACACAGAGTAAGAACTCCATGAGGACAGCTGCAGAACCAGCTTATTGTAGACAAAAGGCTGCTCTGTGTGCCATCCTCAGGCACACGCCCTGACACCCACCCTCTCCAACACCCCCACCTCCTGCTGCCTGCCTTTGCAGTCTTCTTAGCCACGCAGGTCTTCTACACAGTCCAGCAGGCCAATCTGCAGCACAGACTTCAGTGCTAACTGAGTGGATATGAATAATGAAGGGATGAGAAACTAGATGGGTTTCTGACTGGGAAAGCCCGAACGCTTAGGATTCTTTAGGGCTATGCCCAGTCCCCTCTGGCCCTGCCTTTTCTCATTTCCCAATGTTCATCCGGTCACTTGTTACAAATTTCAGTAACTCCCGGGTCTTAATGTGTGGTGGACCATGGTGACACATGCTAGAAATCAACCATCTACAGAGGATGCGGCAGGAGGATCATGATTTTAGGGTCAGCCTGGGCTACACTTTATTTTCATTTTTTATAGTTCTTAAAGATCATATATGTGTGTGTGTGTGTGTGTGTGTGTGTGTGTGTGTGTGTGTATGAATGTTTTGCCTGCATGTATGTCTGTGCATCATATGTATGCTCAGGGTCCATGGAGGCCAGAGAGGGCATCAGATCCCTGGGACCTGGAGTTACAGGCAGTTTTGAGCCACCTTATGGGTGCTGTGAACCCAACCTGGGTCTCTTTTAAGAGCGGCAGTTGTTCTTAACCTTGAACCAGCCTCAATGTACCTTTTAAAGTTGGTTGTTCAGTTCAGTGGCAGATTTCACTTGCTTAGTGTAAGTGATGATAGATAAATAAATAGATAGATAGATAGATAGATAGATAGATAGATAGATAGACAGATAGATAGACAGACAACAGATAGAAAAATAGATGATTGACAGATAATAAAATTGATAGATTGGACTTGCCTAGGGTAAGTTACAAAATTGGAGGGTTTATTTTCTAAATAAAAGTTTCCGAGTCATTGTAGGAGCGTAGTCCAGTTAGATGACCCCGGGAGCCGGCTAATCTAGCCACGCTGCCCTGACTCTTTAGAAGCTGAGAGCCGAAAATCAGTAAGAGTCAAGCTTTGTTGACAACCTGCAGACATAACAACCATGTACTTCGTAAGCTCTAAAGGAAATGGGATATAAAACATAGAGATGAAACCACATATGGTTTATGTTGAGGTTAAAAAAATAAAGACACATGCAATCATCAGAGGGAAAGATGAAACCCAGATGGTGTTCAAGCGTGTGTCCTCCTGATTGCTCAGCCAGTGAGAAAAGTAAGAGCGGGGCTTGCGTCAGAGTCACAAAAAAGCTCTTCTCTGCACTCAGTCAGTGAAGGTTCTGTGATGTCTGGTTTCGTGAAGCTGCAAAACTGTTTCCTTGTTGCTATTCTGTGTCTCCAGCGCTCTGGTGAAGAGTGGGGTTGCACGTTTCTCACACCAAGCAGAAATTTAAGCACCAGCACTAAAAAAGGAAGTTCTGACTCTGGACTTAGCCTTTGAAAGGAACAATATTTGGTATTCATAAAACTCTTAGAGGTGACAGTCAGGGCTGGGTGGGTGGTGGGAACGAGTTATCTCAGCACTCAGGAGACTGAGGCAGAGGGCTGCTGGGAGTTCAAAGCCAACCTGGCTTATACGGTAGGCTTCAGGCCAGCCAATGCTACATAGTGAGAGCCTCCTTAGAAAACAGGTGATGTCAAATGCAAGACACACTCATCTTATTTAAGGGTTACACTGAGCTTTTTGTAACCTTTACCCCTTCTTACAGATGGCCAAACCAAGACTCAGTGGTGTGAGGCAGCATGTCCGGCCAAAACAACAGGTAAAACCTTCCCTGTGGCCCATTGCCTAAGCTGACAGGGGAAGGCATCCCTGTGATTGAGGAGAAAAGGAGGCTGACAGGAGGGCACAGCTACCATGATTGGCCACTCTTCTAACTCCTGGAGAAGTCTTTCAGCTTCAAGTCTTTCATCCCTGAGCTTGGGATCACTGAAACAGGCCAGCGCAGGCATTCTGGAGGAGCCCCATAACGCAAGTGTACCAAATGTCAGTAGAGATGGTAATTTCTAGAAATAGCTCAGTGATTCACAGGACTAAATGAATTCTTTTCCAAGGGAAGGTCAACTCAGATCATCCAGGACACTGTTGGAAGTGGCCGGTGGCCTTGCAACCAAGGTCAGGATACCTAGGGCAAGCCTGGCTTGGTGGGGGCCTGATTCATCTTGGATATCTGATAGTTTCAACCTGTAATTTCAAATTCATAATTTCTAAAGAGAGGCGAGAAAGCCTATTGTTTTAGCTATATATATTTTTAATTGCTGTGACAAATAGAACCACGACTGAAAGGAGCTTGGGGATGACAGGGTTTAATTTAATCTTACAGCCCGTAGTGAGGGAGGAACCAAGGAGAAGATTCGCTCCTTCGCTTGCTCTTCCTGGCTTGCTCAGTGTCTTTTTAAAGTATACTCCAGGACCACCTACCCAGGGGTGCCATCACTCACCATGGGCTGGGCCATCCCACATCAATCATCAGTCAAGAAAATACCTCAGAGGCTTGCCCACAGCCAATATGATGGAGTCATTTTCTCAACTTAGTGTCTTCTTCCAGATAGCTCCAGCTTGTGTCAAGGTGACAGAACCTTACACGGACAGCCTTCTCAAGGACCTACCATCTAGAGAGGCAGCAGGTACTGCTGTTCACTGAAGGCCAGTGAGGATGTGGTCAGAGGTACAAAGGTCACTCTGGCTGCACCAGGGAGGACGAATCCAGGGGGACCTGGGTGTGAGTGAGGAGAGCAGCTGGAGTCTGCTGCAGAAGCTCAGAAGAAGAGAGCCTAGTAGTCCGTGCTGAGCAATCACACGGCCTTGGATGAACTGAAAAACCAGTGAACGGGTAGAATTGCCAGGACACAGTATCAGTGAGTATAAGGGCTAGTGAAGAGAAAGGAGCTGAGTGTGGGGCTTTCAGGCCTGCAAACCCACTGAAGCAGGGGACTAGGAGGAAGGCACAGGTTTAAGAGAGTGATTCCAGCTGGCTATGCCTGGTGGGTGTGGCTTCTCTGTCACAGGGATAAACACATGGCAGGTGTTTGTTTGGGCTTATGGTTCCAGAAGGAGAAGAGTCCATTGAAAGCATGGCAGCAAGTGGCAGGTTTTAAATGACTGACTACCAGGTGGGGAGGCATTTCTCATCCAAACTTATTCCACACCCATGGAAACTTTAGAGCCAAAGTATGAGATTGGTTAAAAGCAATAAACTCAATATAAAATTGTCCATTGGACATTTTCATCCAAGCACTTACTATAAGCTAGGGAACACTCTAGAAGCTGGGGTTTATCAGAGAACAATAGATTATAAATCCCAGCTGCTAGAGTGCTCTCTGTGGAAGGAGCTAACAGCCCAGTGGGGTCCACAGCAAGTTTTAAAGCAGTTGGGGGACTCTGTAGAGAATAATCAAGTGACTGTCCTTTGTCTCTCTGTCAGCAAATGTCACCAAGGAAAGGACACTGCCTCCAGCCACACTCCCTCTGCCACTCAGCCGCCCTCTCCTCTGGGCATAAACTCTTGCTTGTTGCCACCCTATGACGTCAACCCTTCCGTCCCCTCGAGGCCTGCCTTCTGTCCACACAGCTGTGAGTAGATGCTGGGGACACGTTCTTACTGGAGCCTCAAAACTGTTTCCCCTTCCAGCCTTACAAATGAAGACGCTCAGGACTGAGCAGATGTAGAAGGTTTGCTGCTCATGCCAGGCTGGCCGGGATCCGCCAAGGAGCTGGCTGACTCCAGAACCCCACAGTGCAAAGGTTTAACAACAGCAAAGAACTGGTGTGTTTCTTGGGCCTGAGCAGTGGGGGTGGGTGAGGGTGGGGGTGAAGACCCTGCCTTATGCCACAGCTGCCCTTCCTCTGACCACACTTTGCCTAACAGATCAAGGGGACAGACCCACCTAGAAACTCTGACCAAGTCTTGAAAATTGCTCTCTCCCTCCCCATTCTCGTGAGGTTCTAACCTGTCATAGACCCACCTGGTCCTATTTATGGGTGTGTGCTGATTACATTTCTGTAGACTTGATACAGCTAGAGTTGTTTCAGAAGGAGGAACCTTAGTTGATGGAGAAATGTCTCCATCAGAGGCCTGTAGGCAAATCTTTAGGAGCATTTCCTTGACAAATAATTTACGTGGGAGGGTCCAGCCCATGGTGAGCGGTGACATCCCTGAGCAGGTGGTCCTGGATTAAATTTAAAAGTAAACTGAGTAAGACATGAAGAACAAGCCAATAGACAGCATTCGTCCATAGCTTCCGCTTTGGTTCCTGAGTCCATCTTTCTACTTGAATGTCTGCACTGGTTTTTCTCCGTATTTATTGGATCATGACCTGGATATGTAAGCCAAATGAAACCTTTCTTTCTCAAGTTGCTTTTGGTCAGAATGTCTTATCATGGCAACAGAGAGAATACCAGGCCGCTCATCCTCCTGGGCATGGCCCTAATGAGTACTCCTCTAGGTCTAGGTGTGCCCAGGGGACAGTTGTCTCTGAGAGACAAGGCATGGAATGTGAAAATTTGGCAGACCATCCACAAGCACATTCATAAGGACCCTTGTGATGTGGGGTGGACCCAGGAATGGGAAGAAAACAGGGCAGGTTACAGACTAGGAGTCAAATGTCACCATGCTGTCACAGTCTGAAGGTCCTGATGAAAGAGTGTCCGGGTAGGAAGGGGGTGTATAGCTTCACGGTGTGCTAGCTCGTCTGTACACAGGCATTCACATTTTCCCTGCCCATCCTGCCGTCCGGCTGTTGCTATGGCAACCGGATCTTGCCGGGTAGCCTGGTGCTACCTCAGCTGTGATGTGAGCTGCTCACCTTCCGCTTGCTTCCCCCGAGGAACACCCCCTTCAAACACTTCAGCTATTCTGTCACAGGCAGGCACAAACCCAGAGGCACTTGACAGACTTACCACCCTGGGGCAA